CTGTGCAGAATGTTACAATGAGCTAAATAGTAAAAAGTAACAAAGCACTTCAAGAAATGTATGACTTTGCATGTCAACCATCTTGTTGAAGGAAGTATGCATAATTCCTAGGTACGTGAGCAGCTTTTGGGTTAGTTTATCTGTGAAAGTGCCTTATATTTTCTTCATGAACCTTGTATGCAAAATACTTAACTACCCGTGGAATTACGTAACTGATCAACTTTGAGATAATTTCTATGCCAAAAAACCCACAAACGGTGCGGGGGTCGGGCTGGTTTAGCTATTGTATTCCACTCTCCTGAAGTGGCAGTGTGCCACCTCTGAGCAAAGGAAGGCGTATTGCTTTCCATACCTTTTGAAACACAGGCACAATGTGTGCTTATGCTCAGGGGTTCTGTGTTCACTTGGAGAGTGCTGTGATCACCCTGTGGTGTCTAATGACCAGTGTGGGAAACAAGAGTTTTTCTGAAAGTCAGAGGTTTATTTTTCTTTTAATTTTTTTGTTTGTTTGTTTTAATTGAGCTTAATAAATTCTAGGTTGTTCTGGACCATGTCAGCTGGGAAGACTGCTCTTTTTGAAAACAAATTCTTTTTACCATCTTCCGTGTGTGGTAAAGGAGTGACTACAGAAGCCTCCCTGAAGAGGTGTATTTTCAAGCCTCAGTGAGAAGATCAACTTGTAATTTCAAAAAGTTTATTACTGAAGCCTTTCCCCCCCCCCCTTTTCATAAAAAGGAACATTGAGAAATGCATAAAGTTTACTTATTTTGGTAACTTTTAAAATATACATGTCTTCAAGGTAGCAAAACTTACGAGTTGCTTTTTATACAGAAGTTTATTATGTATACTAATATAATATTTATAGACGAATAGCTACTTAAGGGATCAGTTTTTGTTTTATTATAGAGTAACAGGGCATAGTTAGCAAAAATGAAGCAAAAATGATTTAACTTCTCTGGTAAATTTTAGGGAAAGTTGGGAGATTGCTGTCAAAACTGTTTAAAATGTCATCTTATCTTTTCTCAGAAGTGAGATGTCACTAACTTGACAGTTTCATCTAGTGAACGTAGGCTGCTGCTAAATTCCTTTTTTTTTTCCTAACATTTTTCTGTCCCCTTAGAGATTGACTTCATTTGTGGGGTTTTTTTTAGTTTGGATAGGATTTTTTAGTGGGATTTTTGGAGACTCTGAACTGTCATTTTACTGGCTTAGTGGTATTGCTAGACTGCTTGTTGTCCTGTCCTTTTTTCACCCCATGTGTATTTCCTCTTAAGAGGGCCAAATGAATTTCATTTGAAATTTCTGTGTGATTTAATGATTTTTTCCTTTCCATTTCATTTCCCGTGCTTTGTTAGAGAAAGCCTAGTTTAAACGTATTTCGTTCTTTTGATTTAGCATCTTGCTCTAAATTTTGATACCTTTCAGTCATACTCTGAAATGGTAAGGTGTGAGTTGAGGTAAGGCGTGACAGAAGTTCAGGACAGAAGAGTAATGTAAAAGAATAGGTTTTGGTGTTTGGGTTTTTTTTTGTTTGCTTGGGGTTTTTCATGGGGGACAGGAGCAGGTTGTTATTTTGGTTTTTTGTTGTGGTTGCCTCCCCCACGTTCTTTATCATATCTTCTTCTCTTGGTGAGTGAAAACTGAAAGAAGACTTCTACTCTGTGTGAAAGTGTTGTAAATGCTTTTAAAATAGTAATTATATTGGAAAGTAGGAATTATTTTGAAGGATGCAAGGAAGATAAGTGATAGAACTTAGATCAGTTAAAGAGCTGTACTGGTATGGATGAAATACCTGGACATGGCTGATGACTTGCTCAGGTGGATCATCAAAAGTTGTTGATAGTTCTTCAGTGACTGGTTTTATGTGATCATAAGGTAATGGGGAGAGATCCTTACCACTTCATTTTGTGATTATTTCTGGGAAGAGAGAAGGTGGCAAGGATTAAAAATACTCTTCAATGCTCTCTTCAAATGCTTCTAAATGTTCCTCTTATCAGTAACTGAAGCTGCAGACCTTGGATTTTGTGTTTGTCTACAATAACTTCTTTGACTCCAAGTTCCAATTCTTGATGAATCATTAGTCCCGTTTCCTGGTGTGTATCTTATTCTGAAGAAGCACCCTGTTACAATTGAGTTGGGTTTTTTTCTGTAGTTATTATTTTAGTTGAGGGGTTGGTATGTTTTTTGTTTGTTTTTGTTAGGGTTTTTTTGGGTTTTGTGTGGTTGGCTTTTTGGGGGGTAGGGGGAGTGTTAGCATTTGTTTTGAAAGGGAAGTCTGATCTTACAAATATTACAAAGTTAGCTGTTGCTTCTATTCCTGCAGGCAGTCGTGACAGCAGATCTAGGTGGTTTGACATGGTGACAGTGGCCAGTCAGTCATTTGGCCCTTAAATGACTGAGGATCTTCAGAGCAGAAAGATAAGAAAGTGCTGAGGATCCAGAGTGCAGTATTTGGTTTGTGGTAATGATGGAGCTAAGATCCAAATGTATAGGTTGCTTAAGGACTAGTACAGAATTGAGAGACTTTAGTGCTTTGGATAGTAGAGGTGTCTGTTTTCTCATGTTGAAGATAACATACAGTGTTAAATATTTTTGTCATTCATATTGCAGAATGGATATAAATTGTTCATGAAGAACAGTTGGGTTGGTATAGACTAAGATACAGCTTGCTAATTGTTTCATTATAGTAGGAAGTAGAGGAAGAAAATTCTCAAATCTTCCTTTGTGACTCCTTGGAGCTCTGAATCTCTTAATCCCTGCCTGTAGTCTTTCTCATACAAATCTTATTAGGTACTTTTTCAGCATCATCCTTAAGTCCTTAAATTCTTGCAGGTTACTGTGATTCCGTTTGTCTCTCCTTTTGAAGCTTTGTAGGAGGTATAACTAGATGATCTATGTTGCATCAGAAGATGAGATGTAATTGCTTGCCAATGACAGGCACAATGTGCAACTGCTATCAGGTAGCTTCTCTTCAGCTGCAATTTCCATCTACACTTATTTGGTTGAGGAAGCTTGAAATATGTAGGAATTTAGACTTTTGCCTGTGTCGCTCCAATTTTGAGGTTGTATGTTTGTTAGTGCAGCCCCTAAGGGTCTTAAACAGTTCCAAAAGGACTTGATGTACATTAAATGATGTCATATTTGGTTTTGGCAACTTTATACAGATTTGCTGTCATAACTGATATTAAAAAAACTCTATAGGTGATAATCCTTAGGTGCTTCAGGTGAATAGTTAAGAACACTAAGCCGACTTTTACATTGTATAGTATTTTTAGCACCTCCCAACACTTCTAGGCTGTGCAGTGTCTAGGGAGTGAGGTGGGGGGTGATGGGTTGCTTTTGTCCAGGCTTTCAGAGTTCTTGTTCAAGAATTGATTTCAAATGTAAAAGATATGGACAGTGCAATATCCTCATGAAGAAGGGCCATCTGAGGAGGCTTTTTATTGAAGGGTGTTTTGTAAATATGATGTCACTTTGAATGGTTTTCTATATTGCTGGTCAGTTTTACTTGGGGGGGAAGTAGAAATAATTCCCAGAGAAATTGGCAATTGTTGCAAGGGATGAAGTATAAAGGAGAGAATTTAGGAAGCTATTAAACATTGAAGAATACAAAACCAGAGGAGAGATGATGAAAAATCATGTTACTGGTTCTAAAACAAAATTATTTTATCATGAACAGTGGCTTTCAAATGTAGAAACGCTAAATAAAATTTGGTAATATTTCAGTGAGTGTACATAATTTTTTCAGAGAAAGTAATGTAATTAGCTTCACAGATAGCCATCTTAATAAGGGTAACTATTATGCAGACCTGATTATATGGTTCACCTGTCACAGCCAAGCATTGAATTTGGCCTTCATTGTTGAAGTTTGGCAGGCCTGTCATCCCAATAGGTGACATTCTCCATGTGTCCCTTGTCCTTTTCATTGAGGTAAAAGGGAATGGTAGTGTGGCTGTAATACTTGTTACTAGGGAGTTCTCAAGTTCCGTTTCCGGTGGACTTTTTGTCTTGAAATATGAGGACAGCATCCTTTGAAAAGAATTTCAGCCCAAAGTTCTGAAGAATTTTAACTGCAAGAGAAAATGCAAATCTGGACATAGGTAGAGTAAGAAATAAATTGAGAAAAACACTGTGAGGACAGGCAGGAGGAGAAATAACGCAGGTAAACATGAAATGTAACACCTATGGGAGGGGAACTTGCTATGCAATTTTTCATTAAGCATTTTGCACACTTTTGTGAATTTACAGATTTTTATAGCATACTATTCTGTAGGGGATTTTATAGCTAAGCTCCCTAGAAATGCTGCGCACAAGAAAATATGAGGAAATCCTAACCTGCTCTTTGTTTGCTTGTTTTCCTAGTTTTTCTCTTGTGTGTCTTACCATGCAAGAAAAAAAACCAACTCCTGTCTTTACTTGTATTGGATTGCTTTAATTATACTATTCTATGTCTTAGTTTATATGGATTATATAAGGAAAACAGGATAACAATGAGGAAGAAAAAGTAGGAAGAATAATAATTTATGTTGCTTATGCCTATGTGCATGTGTTATGCAAGTAAGTATGTACATAGATAGGTTTTGACTGGAAATCTTTGGCCATTCTGTTGAACTGATAGTGTCTTAGTAATCTGTAGGAGTAAAATTTGGGATATTCAATATTGAGAATACATAGCTATTATTTTAGGGGGGGGAATCAATGATATCAATACTTCAGTATATTGTGCTAATTAGTTTTTAGTGTATCTATGTATCTTAAAAAAAAGTCTGAGGGGAGGAGGGTAGCTTTGCAAATACAGTAAAACACTGAGAACTCAGTAAGCTCATTGTTAGAACGTAGACACTTATACAGTTTTAAAGATATTAAAAAAAATTGTTTTATAAAATAGTTTCTTGCACTTTACCTGCTGGCTTTTCAATTTGATAGATAACATCTGAACTCCAGCAGAGTTTTATAATCCCCACGTGCTTAAATATACTAAATGTTCTTTTTCCATTAAGGTTAATGTTCGTGAAGAAATTGAAGAGTTTTTTCCAAGAATGTGGAAGATAAATCAAGATAAAAGAAGGCTAATGAAAAGTATTAAAGATCAGAAAATTAAAATTGAATGGGGGAAAAAATTGAACAGAAGATTGGTCAGATAGAAGCACTTGAATATTTTTTTAAGGCTATAATGAATTGTTTGAATTGGGGAAGAATACACGAAGTATGAAAAATGAAAAACTCAATGAAGAATGAAGAAAAGTAGAAAGCAAGAGTGAAGTAGAATTAAAAGAATCTGGAAGAATGAATGGGTCCTAGGTTAAGTAAATGTATGGTTTATGTTCCAGTGTCTGTATGATCAAGTTGTAGATGAATTTGCATGATTACTTAGTTAATAGAGAATTGGTGATCTGGTTCAAGCAGGGACCTATTTGAGGAAAGCATACAATATTAACAGTGGGTTAGCAAAATGAAATTTGTTTTGGAGGGTATTGCCTAACCATTTGTTTTTCAGGAGCAATCAATATAATAGAATTACTGTACTTTAAATGTTAGGAGTTAGGCATTTATGCAACCAATACCATTTTTAATACTGTCTTTTTTGTTAGGAGTCTCGCTCCCAGTCAAAATCTCCAGCTGGGAGTCCTGCTCGTGTAAAATCGGAGAGCAGGTCAGGATCTCGCAGTCCATCGAGGGCTTCCAAACATTCTGAATCACACTCGAGGTCAAGATCAAAATCAAGGTATATCCAGAAAATTATTTGTGTCGACTCAGTGTTACTGGTATTCTTTTGGTAGATTGAGATTTCTTTTCTCCTGTTGTAAAAATTATAAAGCTTCTGGGGTTATGTTAAATTTGCCCGTTTGTGCTGCTCCCAGATGGACGAAGTTGGGGAAAGATTTCATGGGTATGAATGGAGAAAGTGCTGTAAATAGAAGGACTAATGTAGAAATCACAACTAAAATTTATAGGCTTGTCTGTTCCAAAAGAGAGAGGGGATTGCATCTCAATTCTGTAAAGGTCCTGCCTCCTCCCCCCAGAGTCTTTCGTGGGGGAATTTTTGTGTGGACCTTTCTTTTAGGGGAAAAAAGAAGTTCAGTGAGAACTGTAGTAAGGTAGTCAGGGCTAGATAAAAAAGAGTAGGCTCTCTAACTGTTGGAAATATTGGAAGGCACTTGTTGGGGATGTTCTTGACACTCCTTCATTGGAGGCTTTAAAAACATAATCAAAAACTACATCTTAAATCGGTTGTGAATAGGTTCTTGATTTATGAGAGCTCTAAGATTTCAATTCATTTTTCGATGCTGCGTATCTTTCTCTGCCCTTCTCTACTCCAAGTCTGTGTGCGCAAAGGTAAAGCTTTGTAGCTCTCGGTTCTGACAGAGCTTGTGTGGAACAGAAGAGATATGTCTGTCTTTTTTTCCTCTAATATGTCATAAATATTATCTGGCTTATACTGCTGATCTTCTTTATTCCCTTGCACCATTATACGGATGAAAAGAACAGAGAGCTACCAAATCTTTCTCTCATCAACAAAGAGAGAAACCAGAAAACAGCATTTGTAGCTCTGGAGGGGGAAGAGGAATTGCGTAGTGTTATGTCATTCCTCCTCCCCAGTTTTTGGGAGAGATCAGTAACCCATCTTCTTTATACACTTCATACTAGGGCAGCTGAAAAAGAGTTGCTGTGCTCTGAATTCCCAAAGTTCAGGCTAATGTTATAGTTTCTCTTACTGCAGTGTTTAGCCAGATAACTACCTGTTTAAAACTGAGCTTATTGTTGGCAAGATATGTGCAAAGAAATGCTTGAGGAGTTAAGCAGGTGTTTAGGGTTTTTTGGTCTGGAGTAATTTTTGTCCCTAGTTGAACTTCATTCGTAGATATTGCAGCAGTATAGTGCTGCCAGATCTTTCAGTTTTTCAGTCAAAACAGTGCTTTACAATGTGGCATATCTGGCTTCTGTATCATTGTGCAAATATTAGTTACATAAGCAGCCAAGCTGGTAAAAGTTTAAACTTTGAAATGCCTGAAATATAATCCTTAGTGTATGCCAGAAGTACTTTCACAGAGTTAAAAATGGTGCTACCGAGCAGATTGTTAGAGGTCCGTGCAATCTTTAGATGTGCAAGGTAGAAGCAGCTTAATGATTTCAATTGTAGCGAACCTCTAAAAAAAAGATTTTTGTCTAGGAAATTCAAGGCTTACAGTTCAATACATTATGTGCATGTGACCTAACTAACAGCTTTCTTTTTGTTGAAGATCCAGGTCCAGAAGACATTCGCACAGACGTTACACTCGTTCCAGATCCCATTCTCATTCCCATAGGAGACGTTCTCGAAGCAGATCGTACACCCCAGAGTACCGTCGTCGAAGGAGCCGTAGTCATTCTCCTATGTCCAACAGGAGAAGGCACACTGGCAGCAGAGTATGTTCATCAAGGCTGAGTATCAAAACAATTGCTGCTTATCCAGGTTATCTGCAGGCTGAGTTTGACCTGCTGGCTTGTCACTGGAGGATACGGGAATTGGGTGGGAGTGGGGGGTATGTGTGGAGCAGTCTCTGTCCTTACAGCTGGGCACTTATTTCTTGGGTCTGTGACTGGCAGGGAAGTTGTAGAAATTCATTGAAAAACATTCCATTGCAAGTCAGTATGTGCAGATATAGTGACATCTGCTTCCATCAGCTCTAGAAGTTGAACCCTTCTGCCTTTTTTTTTTTTTTACAGTTCCTAGTAGATACACCCCTCACAAAAATGAGACCTTTTCTGTGTGAGCTTGCAACCTGACAGTATTGATAAGATTGACTAGAGAATCCAAAGAAGGAAATTCCCAAGTGTTTATTTGCTTATAACATAGAGCATATTATGTTGGAAGTTGCTTGTGATTTTTATACCTCTGATTATTTAACTTGGTATAACTTGAAGTAAAGCCCTGTGTTATTAGGCAATACATAAATTTTAATAAACTAGAAAAATATACAGTTACAAAAAGGTTCAGTAAGCTTTTCAAAATGTAAACGAGAAGTGTCTCTGTATGGGCAGGAGGAAGTATAGCTACACCAACCAAAATTTAAGATACTGATCTTATGTCATTCTGGAGAGATTTCTCCCAGTGTCCTTTGTAATCGCAGAATGGTCGGGCTTGGATAGGTCCTCTGGAAGTCATCTTGTCTGACCCATCTGCTAAAGCAGGTTCACCTAGAGCAGGTTGCACAGGATCACATTCAGGTGGATTTTCATTAGGAGACTCTGCAGCCTCTCTGGTCAGCATGATCCAGTACTCAGTCACCCTCAAAGAAGTTTTTCTTCATATTCAGATGGAACTTCCCATGTTTCAGTTTGTGCCCATTGCCCCTTGTCCTGTTGCTGGGCACCACTGAAAAGAGTCTGACCCTGTCTTTGTGACACCCTTCCTTGAGATATTTGTATCTGTTGATGAGATCCCCTCTCAGTCATCCCCAGGCTAAACAGGCCCAGCTCTCTGAGCTTTTCTTCATAAGAGGTGTTCCAGTCCCCTAATCTTCATAGCCCTCCACTCCAGCAGTTTCTTGTCTAATCCATAGTTTCTGGTTTCCCGTTCAGGCTGATCTAAATGAGTGCTGTTGAATACAGCTCAGTGTTTTCCTTGCTGAGGGCAGTGGTACTTTTCTCATCCTTTTAGTTTTAATCTGGTTTAGTCTTCAATTTCTTTATTAATTTTGTCAAAAAGCATATCGTTTTTTGGAGGCTTACCCACGTGAAGCGTATCACCAGGAGCAGGTGATACCAATGTGAGGGAGCAGGCAAAAGCATGTGGAAAAGGGCAAGACTCCAGTAGTGTTAACATATAGTGGTTTAAGCTGTTGTAGAGCAACATTCGTAGTTAAGCTTTTTGTGGATTGTTGCTGGCCTCTAATCACAATGTAGTAAATATTAATCTAATGTCTTCAAAAATTGGCAGAAATAACTGAACTTCAAATGGGTTAGCAGTTCTTCTGGTGAAAGGTGGAAGAATCTGCTTTACTACTTCGGGAAATACTAGGATGTTTTGCTCTGTGAAGAAGTCTTTCTGCCTTGGAAATGACTTTGTGAAACACCAAAATTGTTCTCACAGTGAATTTCACATTAATTCTAAGGATTCTGAGAATTCTAAGGGCTAGTTCTAGTAGTGTCAAAATGAAACTCAAGTCAGTCAGATTTGGAATCCCCTAAATAGCAAGGTCCTAAAGATGCCAGGAAAATTGATAGTAATTTTCTTCTGATCTTGTAAAGAGAGCTTGCATACTGTGTTGATGGGAGGCAGTACAAAAACCTAATATAAAAGCTACCTTTTAGTCCTTCACAGTCAGTTTAGTCCTTCCAGTGGTAATGTAGCCATCAATTGTAGCTTAGGGTGTGCAGGCTGATCTTAGTACTTCTCTTGTCTCAGAAAAGGTAATAGGGTTTTTAAGTGTAAGGGGGTTGCTAAAAAAAGGACAAAAGGTATGGACTGTGTGGAGAGACTTCTCCAAACAGTGATTTAAAAGACAGATTTCATTAGACTCCCAAGAGTTCAGTAAAAAAATCGGTATAGCTTCCAATGCCATTGAATTATCAGATATGTTTTTACTCCATGTTTCAGTCCATCTAAACCTGTATAATTAAAACTTTCAAATTACAAACTGCCAGGTTTTGGTGTTGCTCTTCAGCTATAATAAGGAATTGCAGAGGATTCGTGCCTTAAAATAAAAGTTTGAACTTTGACAAATGGAAAGAAAGGAACATCAAATATATGAGTAGTTTGGGCATCTTATTTTCACAATAGACTCCTGAACAAAAGCACTGAAAAGAACATGACAGAAGATCTAAGCCTGTTCACTCTTTGAATCAGGCTGAAAGGCAAACTCTGGGGCATAAATTACTGTGCATTGATGGGTTTGAAAATTTGAAACTGAAATACAAATTTCAGGTGTGTCAACTTGCAGTTATTATTTTGGCAGAAACATTAAATCCCTGTGCTTGTTGCTGCTGTTTTAAATTGCTGCATCTAGTATAACAGGTGTCAGAAGCTTAAGTGAAAAAAGTGCTTAATTTTGATTAAAGTAATCTTATGGTGGAATTGGCATTAGATGAACTCTGTGACATGTAGAGAAACTTTGACTTCTCCATATAGAGAAATATAAAGGAGAAATTTTACCTTGTACAATTACATATTTGACTTTGTTTAGTTGAAGTGGAATAAATAAATAAAAAAGGATGCATTCTTTTGGATTACAGTTTCACAGAACTGGCCTTCAACACTTGTTTTTCTCTAGATGAAAGAACCAGGTGACTTTCATCCCGTTTACAAGTGGGAAAATAAACTTTCAAATGTAAATATTGACTTTCAGTATAGTTGGATGGGAAATGTTGAGGGGGAAGAAGTTTTGGTAGAAGCTAAATTATAATTCAGTTGTCTGTTCTCAGGAGCTCAAGTGCATTTAGTGTGTGCAGCTGGAGGCAGTGTGCACTCTTTAGTACCAGTGGTGACCATGCAGAAAGGCCGAAGGTGGGAGTTCAGGCTGGCAGAGCTGTTCTTAGCACAGATTTGTATGTTGTATCTGCAGCCTGTTGGCAATTTGAGTATGAATACTAATAAAATGGATTCTTATTACTCTATAGCTTCTCTGTAATCAGAATGCTTAATTTTTATGAACTGAGATTTTTCACCAACAGGAGTAGTTTGTCTGGGTCTTTTTTCTGAAATAAAAACCGCTGAAAGTGGTTGCCTTTTTGAAAATATCCTGCAATGAAGTGTTAAGCTTTATAATACTGTATGTTTAGTTTTCTTCAGATTAATTTTTTTATAATTGCTAAATTTTTATATGAGAATATATAACTTTTTTTAATATAAATTTAATTGGAGTTGAACATTTGTCTTACCAGGCTAATCCAGATCCCAATACCTGTCTTGGAGTGTTTGGTCTCAGTTTGTATACCACTGAGAGAGATTTGCGTGAAGTCTTCTCCCGCTATGGACCTTTGACTGGTGTCAATGTGGTTTATGATCAACGGACTGGGCGATCAAGAGGATTTGCTTTTGTTTATTTTGAGAGAATTGACGATTCTAAAGAGGTACATTCATGCTTCATTACTTTTTACTTTATGCATTGTCATCATGAATTCTCCATTAAAAAAAAGAAACATGTTTTTGAGTGTGTGTTCATTAGCAGGTTCTCGTAGTGAGATTAATTGAAAATACTTTGTTCAAGCAATATGGCACCTATAAACAGATCAGGCATTTTAGTTCAGTGTTCTGATGTTTGGGCAAATTTTAAGTAGGAGCTGGTTGTATTGAATCACCAGTGAGCATTGGACTTTGATTTTAGTCTGCTACTTTAAAATGAAGATAAATCTTTGTGAAGCTTCTATATCTGTAGTATTTTTGAAACGTTTTAGAAGTTAACTTTCGAAAGTAGTTTTCTGTATCAAAATTCTGGAGATTCTCTTTGCATTTTCTTCTCTAAAAGCATGTTATGCATTTGAAAAATAATGGGGTTTGTCTTGAAATGTGCCTTGGTCAATGGCTTTGCTGGTTATACAGATGGCTATTTACAACTAGACTGAGTTGTTAGTATTATTGATTTGTAAGGAAAGAATCAAAGAATATGAACAGCACCCTATATATTATGACTCACCACAATAAGCAGTACTTTTTTTATCCCTGTGATGATACTGTGAACCTTAATACATTTACTGAAAGTTGGAGATGAAATTGCTATTAAAAGTAAAGACATACCCTAAAAAACGGTCTTTAATCCTGCATTGGGGGATTATCTTTTTCTTTCAAGCAAACTTAGTCATAGACTTCATCTTGTTTATGGATTAATAGGCTTGGGCGGATGTTTCAGATTTGCTGTTTGATTCTGTTTATATTTGATAAGTTTCTTCATCAGGAGATATTAAACAATAAATAGGAGTCCTCTCATAAATCACTTAGCATCACAGGGAGGGAGGGAGCATGACAGCTGTGGATCCTTCTAGCAGGAACTGAAAAATGAGAACATCGCTGCTAGTTGATGATATTTGAATGAAAAAAACCTGTTTTGTGAATTACTTGGTTGATGTATACTCAGTTCTCGCCTTTGATTTCTGGTATGATCCAACTGAGAATCAGTTTATAGGAAGAGTAGGTGTAGATGTGTGTATGTGTGGTTGTTGCAGGATATAGGGGTGAGTAAAACAACATAAAACTTTAATGTCCCTTCTGTATTTTCCCACTTTCACTTGGAAGGTTGAGAGAGAGGTTAATAGGGTTGGATAGCTGTATATCTCCATCTGTCTTTAATGGCCTACTCGCTTCTTTTAGCCTGGTATTTCTTTGCACTGTGAGTTTGGTGGGGTTTTGTAGACTATTTAAAGTCCAAAATACTTGCAGAGTGTTTCTTGTCATATTCGTCTGCCAGTCTTGTCTGTTGTACGTTCATATGTCTTTAGAAGGAGGTTTTTTTCCTGGTTGCCATGGACAGTGGTCATGCATGACACCATGCATTTCTTAAAATGTTCCGTGTAAATAGCATGAAGTAATTTGTTCAGTATAAAGCTGTTTTGGCAGATGCTACAAAACTGGAATGCAAAGAAAAAAAAATGGGATGTTATTTGCATTCAAAAGTACAGAAAAAGATTAGCACCTTAAGCAGGAACTGAAATAGTTTGGAATGTAATTAGACAAAATTTTTCTCCCCAATGGGCTAGTGCATGAAGAAATGGAAAGGATGCAAACTCTCCCAACATCTGGAACTCAGATAACTGAAATACTTTGCCAAAAAGGACAGCAGAAAAACTTGTTTATTTGACTTATTTCACGGGCCTTGAGGACAGATAAGTGACAGCTGGTGTAGAAAAAGGGCAGATATATAGATGTAAGGTAGGTGTGAAACTGTGACAGGCCCTGTATTAGAACCCTGAAGAACGTGAAGCAATTCTCTATGTGGAAGATACTTCAAGTCTGAAAAGCTGAAAGTATACTTAAAAGCAATGACACTTGAATTACTTTTGTTCTGAGTAAATAACTTTTTCTTAAAAATAATAATTAAAAAAATCTAACCAACCAAAAACGATAACAAAAACCAAACCAAATTCCCCAACACCCCAAATATCCTAATAAGGAGATGAGATGTCAAACTAAATTCCAGCCCTTTTAAAGGTAGGTGGATTTATGAGAGTGGAACTTTACAGAAAAATTAGGATTTTTCATAATCTTCACTGTTGTCCTTTAGGAGAGGTAGCACAGGGAAGCCTCTCAGCAGACATGCTCTGAAGCACTGGCAATACTAAAATTTGGCACCAAATTAATTGTCAGTAGTTACGTTTAAACTTTTATAATTTGTTTTAAGATAGGTCAGTGTCAGTTATGCATGGATTGTGTTGCAGCTGAAATCCCTCAAGATCTTTGTCATCCCTGGTTACTTTTACAAACTGGATCAGTTACTGAACTGGTTAAAATGTTGCTGTGGATCAAGATTCTGAAACCAAGTGGTACAGTTTGTAGTTCCATATGGTGGTAAAAACTTTTTGAGTTGTCAGCTAGCTTGATATTTCACAGTGTCCTAAGAACACCAAAGGGGGGCAGTTTTAAAATTTATTTTTACTGTAACTGGTTTAAAATTTCAGAACTTCAGATTATGACACTGTAGCAGCCTTGTTAGTGATTTATGATCACCTTGATTATAAAGAGGAGCAGAGGCTCAGCTTTAGATAAGTACTAGATAAAGCAGCTGTCAGAGCATCACAGTAGCCTCAGTCATTCCACTTCAACACAACAGGGGGTTTCAATGCAGTTTTCAATGCGTGTGCCCAATCCAGGAGATTTCTTGTGGAATCTCTTCTCTTCTGTTTGAAGCTCTGCTGAGGCTGAGACGAAACTTTGTGATCAGACAGAAGGTTCGTTTTCCATCGAACGTCTCTTATTGCAATGGTCTGGTGTTTGCAAGATAGCACGTGACCGGATTGTTAGGTTCTGAAGGCGCTTGCAGATGCTGCCCTTAGTTCAAAGTGTGATGGCAAACAAGAAATGTTGAGGGCTGATAGATGTCTAGAAAACATCTAATGGATGTCTAGTGGTTGTGTAGAAAACCTGAGTTTTTGCTGTGCCAATGTTCTTGTCTGTGAGCTTGTTCAAAGCCTATTTGAAAAGCTTATGATGCTATCTAGGTTTCTTTCAGAAAACATATTCTCTGTTATGGCTGTAGTGGGTTTCATTTTTTTATGAGGTTATGTTTTACTTTTTCTAAAAAAAATATGTAAGTAATATTTGGTATGCTTTTTTTTTGCCTTGGGTATTGCAGTGTCTTATATTGGCCACTCTTCTACCAAGTCTTCAGAACTGTGTGTGCAAAATTGGGCAAAGGAGAAGATGTGTAAATGTTTGCTGAAGACTTGCTTCTCAAAATCTTTCTTACATAGTTCTCAATATTGGCAGTGCTGGCATGGAGCCGGTGTGGTAATGTTGGTTTGCAGTATTTTCACTATATTATAGAGGATATTCACCTGCCCATCACATTAGGATTTTCTTCCTGTGTTAGAGGATCACAAATTTCTGTGTATAGGATGAGAAAAAAATAAAAGTTATGGGGGGGAATTGGTTGTGTCAGGGTTAACAATAAGTTGAGAAGATCACGAGTGAAAAGTGAAAAGTGTTGGCTGTTCTAGGACATGATTCTTACTACAGTTACCAGAGATTCCATATGCTGGTAACCAGCTCTTCACTAACTCAGAATAAGAAGTGTTAGTTGTTTAAACTGAGGCTACTGTGAATGTACTGTCTGTAGGAGGAACTCATCTGAGAAGCATCAGCTACAGCAGCTGTTCTGATTTCTGGTACTGGTTCCTTGGTGTTGACCATCTTTCAGAACTGCTTTCTCAAATAGTGTTCATTAGCAATCAAGACAAACTATTGACATAATTCAGTTGCCAAAGACCAGAATAATAACAGGGTTTATCACTTTGATTTGCAAAACATTTAATCTGTGGTGGAAGCAGACCAGCTTAAAACCATCACTGTTGAGCAAAACTCCCACAGTTTGTTGAAGAAATGCTGTCAGTGTTGTTTGTGGTATCAAAAAGGAGCCTTGATATACCAGAAAAGAACACAAGAAGGTCTCAAATGTTTAGAATTAAAATGTTACAGAGTTCTGGATCTCAGACTTCAGAATGTAAATGGACTGTTGTTCAGAGTTGAAATGGACACTCGAATTCAACTCGGCAGGCTGCAGCAAGTGTAAAAAGCTGTGTTTCCTTATTTTTTTTTCATCCCATCAGATTTTTTTTTTCCCCACAGAATTTCCTTTCAGTTGTCCTTGTTAAATCCAGACCTGAACCAGTGTTCAGAATCCGGTGTGGGGGGGGAGAAAACCTAGTCTGTTGAGTCTTTCATCCCTTTCTGTACCTGTGATATAGAGAAGATGATGTTTTTATCAATGGTATTAAACACAGTACAGAAAGGACTTCCAGTAAAAAAAAAACAAACAGGAAACCCCCAAAACCACAGCAAACAGAAAAAAAACAAACAAAAAAACCAAACAAAACCCAAAACAAACAAAAAAAAACAACAACAAAAAAAAGACAGTATCTAATATAGTTATTTTTAAATTGTGGAAATATTTTCAAAATAAGTCACAACATGAATTGCTTGTTTGACTGTTGAAGTGTATTCAGTCCGAACTTTGTAGTGATGTCAAGTTATTGAAGTAATTAAAGCAGTTAAACGTAGTTAAAATGAAAATTCTATGATCTTTTGTACATTACAAATGTTATTTTGAACTCCCCTAGTGTAGTGTAAAGTGACTGTGATAACAGCTCTGCCAAGTCAGATTCTCTCCTTCCCTTCTCCCTTTTTTCTCCCCACGCCCTTCCCCCCAGTGACCACGGTACGGGTTGCAGAAATTTCCCCATGTTTCATGTCCAAGCTGCTCTTTTTGGCATTATCCAGATTGAAAGATTATATATTGGTTTTGGTGGATTGTTGATTGTTTAACTAATACTAAAGTGTTTCCAAACTTGTTTTACTCTACCTCAATGCTAATGCATTTAGAAAACATCACATACTGTAATAAATATCAAATGAAATTGAAGTCTTTGTTAAATTTAATGCTTTCTTTCTGACTTTTGAGCCGCAGGAGACCATGATGCTGTAGTTTGGGAACTGCTTATTTTTTCAAACTAACACCGTACAGATAATAAGTTTTGTTATTATGGATAGTCTTCTGAAAGTTTAAAACTGCAAATCTTAAAAAATGCAATCTAAGATTGAATTATTACCTGTGACATTCCCAATCCTAATACTGTTTTCTGACTACAAACATACAGATGTGTATTCTGGCCTACAAAATGAATTTTTTCCATAAAATTTGCTACCAGAATTTATAGTGCATGTTTATAGGAATGCTTTTGCAAAAGCCACGCGAGTATTTTTAACAACATTCAGATATTTGGAAAAGAATCCAGATTCTAATAAAAATGGATTGTTGACAGTTAAAGACTCCTAAGAGGGTACTGTGTGTCTTAAACCCCAATATAATTTGATTTTTCTTTTTAAAACGTTTCAGTTGATGGTCTTAAATAGTATTTGAGAATGTCTTCTGCGTTGTTAGGGAGAATGTGTGCAATTTTTTCCCTTTAACACTTACATGTTCTCAACACAGCAGTCATGCATACCTACAAACAGCAAGAAAAGCAAACTGAAATTTCTTTTGAATAGACATGAAATAAAACTGTAAAATCCAAAATTTTAATGTAAACTCTATTAACTTACAATAAAGCGCAGAAATGCAGTAATTAAAATCATCAATATGTTTTTACAGCCTTCTCACAGAATAAATACTGTTGTATCACTTACCTGAACCCAGCTATTCTAATAGGGCTTTTGGTCATATTGCAGCAGTCCTTACCTAATAATGTCATCTTAAGTACTTTGTGTCAAATACCTGAGATGTGCACATTAAGAGTGGTACAGAGAATTTGGCAGCATCTTTGGAAGGAATTTCCATATGCTAATCACTGAGTGTGATTGATCCATACTATTAATTATTGTTGGATTTATAATGGTTTATCGTAGGTTTGGGCTTTTCTGCATTTGGGGAATGCAGTCACAACTGTAAAAGGCTTTGTTATGTTTGTATATCTATTAAAGATTTTGTTTATTTTAATATTTTTAATCAGCAGTTATTCTTGACAGCTGCTGAAGCCTAAGAAAAATAAAGTTTTAATATTGGGTAGGGCATTAGACATTATGACTAAGGTGTTGGGAGTTCCATGCAGACTGGTAACTATGAACTAATCTTCATCCATTGAAATGTAACACCTTACTTGGTATTTCTAAAACAAACTATCAGCTCTCAAAATGAACTCTTTGTCTTTCTTGTTGGTATGTTGCTCTTCTCTGTACTGCTTCCTCTGTCGAAGAACTCATCCTCTTGAAGAGGTGCTTGCTGGTTTAACTAAATAAGACATATGCCAGATGTTCTGTATTGAGGTGGCTTCTTGTTAGCTAAGCTTATTATTTTGCAAGTTGTTATTGGACTTAAAAATTCCATGAAGCAGAAAATTTCTTAACAGGTTAGCTTGTGTACTGCTGCATTTCCAGAAGGATGCTTTTCATCATGAAGTTAATTTTTCAGCCAGGTATTTGCAGCCTTCGTTTTTGATTTGTGCACAGACTTTCTTAGGATGTGTGAACAGATTTATTTTAATTTAATTCATCCTTGTGGAACGGGACTTTAAAAAAAAATTATGTCAAGACTAGAAAAGTAAAAGGTGAGGAGCATGTTTTAGTCACAAAACATACCTGAGTGTATGTTAAAAGATTTGAAATTCCAGTAGGCTAAATGTAGTTGCAGTATTGTATGGAACAGAACTCACTAGGTGGCGATATAGCATAGATACAAACAGTATTATTAAAATACAAACTCGGTGTAGTTAAATAGATTAGTGGTCCTTCAGTCACTTCCAATTTGAGTACATCAGTTAAATCCTGAAGGTGTCAGATTTTTGTATCTCCTCCATAACTTGTATATAAATTCAGTAAGGTTCTTGTTAGAGTTGCAAATAAGTAAATTTCTGAGTAGTAGTTCCATTAAAAAAAAAAAAAAAGAAAAAAGCTCTGCTTAGAGGTACCTTCATGTTTTGTGGCTGGGTGTTGGTTTTCTGCAGATAAAAAACAGCAAAGTGGTCATGTTCTTTAACTCAAAATTGTAATAGTGTCTCTTTTGCACACACGAGAAATTAAAATAATATGTATTGGACTAATTGCTATGCTTAGCATCGAGAAGTAAAGGGTGTGTACTAGTATTTCAGAGATCCTGGAGCAGCTAATAAAAGCTATAAAAATTTGAAAAGCAAATTTTTAAAAATCCTTTTAAGTCCAGCGTCAACAGTTAAATTTACTGGTGTGGGGTTTTTGGGGTTTGGTGCTTTAAGTTACTGTTGCATGAATATAATTCTCAAAAGTCAGCTCTGCTCCTTTGAAAAACTTATTTTCATGATTTTGAGTTTGTGAAAGGCCATTGTATTGACTCTCAAAGAGTGGAGAATCGGGCTAGAACACCCAGGGAGTGTGTGCAGGGGCTGCAGGCGGGTCTGAAGGCACAGGCTTCTCGAGCGCAGACCCTTCTGTGTATCGCTTTAGCGAGCTGCTATTGTGAGAGGGAGTGGGGAGGAAGGTTGTAATTAGGTATCCATGTAGGCTGAACCCGCCATTTTACTAAGCTCTGCTGAAGTAGGTCCTTGTAAGGGAGATGGCAGGAGGCTGGGAGAGCATGAAATGGCAGCCGACTAGCAGTAATCCGGCCATATGCACCCTACAGGAAGCCACTGTTTCACACGCCTTTTGAATCTGCCCGTCCCCTCTGGGTTAGAGGCAGCGGTAGGAAAGGTGCAGTTTTTAGAAAAAAGCTGTTTTGACTTTCAATTTAACTTCTTGATGGATAGAAGACAAAGTCTAGGGAAAGTGACTGTTAGTAGTTAGCATTGTGCTCTCTTAAGAAGGGATTGAGTGTCACGTTAGTCCGGCACCCGTCCTGTAACACCACCGGCAAACAGGCCAGGGGACAAGAGATAAGCCATCCGCCACAGTGGGGCACTAGTAACCAGTTTAAACAAAACAAGTTCAGGGCTTGCTTTTCTGATAGAAAATAATGTGTTTGTACATAGCCTTCCATATTTACCAGTAGGTTGCGGATTTCACGTCCCTGTTCCTTGTCTCTCCTGTAGGCGATGGAGCATGCAAATGGAATGGAGCTGGATGGCAGGAGGATTCGGGTGGATTACTCGATCACCAAGAGAGCACATACACCCACCCCAGGCATCTACATGGGCAGGCCAACACAGTAAGTTTGATGGATTCAAACTTAATACTGGAATCTGGTTGAGGAAATAGAGCTACGGATACTTTTTAAAAAAAATTTAGAGTTATGCCAGTTTGATTTTATCACAAAGTTACTAATATGAAGAATGTGTTACTGTGATTCACATACACTGTTAAATCCTACTGTGGTTTATTGTATCTTTTAAAAATATCTCCTTCAGGTCTTTTTATAAAAATAATATGCAGCATAATCAGTTAATGCACTCAGCCTGCTGAAATACTAAGTTACCATTTGCCTTTGATTTTGATGGGAATTAGACTTAAATCCCTCATGATTTTTTTGGGTTTTTTTTAAAGGTGTTTTTATTTAAATATTTAATTTGTATATTGTTTCATGGTGCATAGTATTAAGTGTCAGATTTACTACGAGATGACTTTAAAAAAGCTTTTAAATAATTTAAATCAAGATGAAGAGTAGATATCTAAAGAGGGTTTTTTTGCCTTTTCCCCTAATAGCAGTGGAGGAGGTGGTGGCGGTGGAGCTGGTCGTCGCCGGGACTCATATTATGATAGGGGCTATGACAGAGGATATGACAGATATGAAGAATATGACTACAGATACAGGTACTTAATCTTTATTTTATTTCTGTAGGAACAGAGGATTTGTTGGGAAAACTGAAAAGTTCGATGACAAAAAAATGTAGCGATATTCTGCATACATACCTGTTATGTGTTAGAGCCTCATTCCTTTGAGTTTTGTGGGATTAAAGCAGTCATCATCTTCAGTCTTTATGTAATTTGGTTATTCAGTTGGGCAGGGGGGCTAATTTTGCTACCTGAAGGAGGTTGAGCATGTACTCCATGAATCAAGCGGACAGATAGAAAGGGAACTCATTTTTCCATGCTGTATATAGAACCAGGAACAGCTGATACACACTGCTGTTTAAAAAGGGATTATTTGTAGATGGAATTTTTAATGCTTGACATTTCATAACCATCTTGCTGTTTTGAAAGTTATCTGGTTTCAGGGAATGTTGTTCAACAAGAATTGTAGGCATCTGGAAAAGCACTTCATGTGTTTGCAAGGCTAGTGAGAGTTTATTAAATTCTTTGTCTGGGAATATCTTACAGTTTTAAACACTTCAAATAGAGAAATATAAAAGCATTTGTTAAATAACTGTAAGCCACAGCCAAATAAAGCAGAAATAATTCACACAAGCCAAGTCTTTCAGTGCTGAGGAAATGGTTCTGTTCTGTAGAAGCAACGTGAATAAGGCTTCTTTCATAATGGATGTTGTTTGGTTTCTTTTTTAATTTCCTTTAAAGGAGACGATCACCATCGCCTTACTATAGTCGATACCGATCACGATCAAGATCCCGTTCCTATAGTCCAAGTAAGTAAATGCAAGTAAATAAATAGATTCTGGCTGTCATAAACATTGTTATATCAGTTGATCAATGGAAATTCTGAATATGAAAGCTAAAAAGCTGGGCACAGTAAACCTGGGATGATGTGTGTACAGTTAAGTTTATAGTAATTGTGTCATCTTTTGTTTTTTTTCCAGGGCGCTACTGAAGGTCAGAAGAGTTCCAGTTGAGGACTTGATTTTTAAATACAAAGTTCAGATCTCTAGCTTCCCTACTGCTTTCCCTTCTATCCTCCCTTTCTTGTCCTCTTTCCAGCTCTTTCACAAGTCTTTGGTTCATTTAGAATATACATGTTTTCAGTTGAAGTATTCCTATTTTTCATCCCTCCTTATTGTAATACTCTTAAATATTGTAATTGTTGTAGTTTTTGTGTAGTAAAACATCTTGAGCAAAATGAAATAAAGAACCCAAAGTGCTGATACATTTTGGAAGTCATTCCTATTTGGTTTTTAAAACAGTTGCACTCCTGACTAATCAGAAGAGAGCATTGATATTTTTAAAGCGTGCATGTCATGTATTATACACACTCAGATACTTTAACATAAATCTGCATTTCCAAGTAACTTGTTAATCTTTCTGTTAAAATGTTTACCTATTACTTTGATAAACAAGTAATGACTTTGAGCCTTTTCTGTAATGAGAAATTTGCTTAGATAGTCATGAACCAGAGGAATTTTTTTTTTATTATTATTATTTTTTTTGGTCAAGTAGTTGCTTTGAGAGTAGACTATTTGAGCTAGAGAAAAATTTGGTACTTGACTGGCTGGGAGAATAGATCCTTGTACACTCAAAAATTAAGGCTGTGTTTTATAGAAAAAAGTTTCTGGATTGCTACACAGTGGATTACAAATGAAGTTAAAACTGTTGAAATCCTGGGGTTTTCATTGTACTTGGTTGGATATTTCCCCTTAATTGGTGCAGGAGAAAAAATATTTATTGAACATAGCAATTAGTTGTATAATTTGCTGTTCATTAAAAAAAATTACTGACTTTTTGGTATTGCAATAATGATTGAAAAAGTTTTGTTTCAAGTCCTTTTTGGAATTTTGAAAGTACGGATGGAAAAACCTACAACTACATGTAAACCTTTTTTCTTCCTCAGTAAAAGTTAAGTCCACTGATACATGGTTTCTTGTCTTTTGTTCTGCATTTTGTCACCTTGGAATATAGGTTAAACAAGACTTAATACTGCTGTATGGGTAATAAAGTCAGCACTAATCTGTCATCTCGGGAGCCCTGTCTTCCCTTAGAATCAGTATGCGGTTATATGGCATGGCTAAGCAGAGTGGGTTGTCCAGCTTTCTCTTGTGCCATCCTTGACGCTTGCTGGAGTTGTGCTGAGGTGATTGAAGGAGAGCAACACCACTAACTTTGTTTAGATTTCTGTCACGTCACTGGTTGAATGTCTGTTGGCACAGCAAAAGGAATAAGACCACAAAGCCCTAACAGCAAAATATCATCCTGATTGTCAGGGAATGCCCCGGAAGAATTGGTCATGATTTTAAGAGAGTAAGTGTTTGAAATGTAGTTGTGTTAATTATTTGAGTGTCAATGCCAGGAACTATTAACAGGTAATTAAAAGAAACACACTAGCACACATCCAGCTATTTTAAAAGCTTGATAGAATATGCCAGGAGAAATTGGTGACAAAACAAGTTCTAACTTAATTATCAGAAACACTGTAGTTAAGTCTTCCAACTCTAATGATTTTACTGGTATTTATTGGTGATCCAGGCAAATTAGCAAATGTTAGAATTGTTCTCTGTAAACCAAAGTGCCAATATCTCAAGATAGAGAACTGTAGGTTTATTTCATTTTGGTTTTGTTCTTTCAAAACATGGTTAGCCAGTGTGACACCCATTCACAAGAAGAGCTAGAAGGAGGATTCAGGGAACTACAGGCCTGTCGGGCTGACCTTGGTGCCCAGGACAGTTATGGAACAGATCACCTTGAGTATGATCACACGTACAGGACAACCAAGGGATCAGGCTCAGCCAACATGGGTTTAGGAAAGTCAGGTCCAGCCTAACCAACCTGATTTTTTTTATGACTGGGTAATCCACCTAGTGAATGAGGGAGGAAAGGCTGTGCACGTAGTTTACCTGGACTTCAGCAAAGTCTTTACTGTCTCTCACGGCTTTGACCTGGAAAAGCTGGCAGCCCATGGCTTGGACAGGTGCATTCGTTGCTGGGTGAAAAAAACAGCTGAAGGGCTAGGCCCAGAGAGCGGTGGTGAATGGTACCACATCCATTTTGCATCTGGTCACTAGTGATGTGCCCCAGGGCTCAGTCTTGGGCCCAGTCCTGTTCAGTGTCTTTATCGATGATCTGGATGAGGGTAGGAGGGTACCCTCAGTCAGTTTGCAGATGACACTAAGTTTGGTGGGCATGTTGATCTGCAGGAGAGTAGGAAGGCTCTTCAGAGAGATGTGGACAGGCTGGATCGATGGGCCAGGGCCAATTGTATGATGTTCAACAAGGCAGGCCAAGGGCTGGGTGCCGCACTTGGGCGACAGCAACCTGACATAGTGCTTCCAGGCTTGGGGAAGAATGGCTGGAAAACTGCCCAGGGAAAAAGTAGGTGATGGTTGTGGTCAACAGCCAGCTGAACATGAGCTAGCAATGTGCCCAGGTGGCCAAGATGGCCAATGGCACCCTGACTTGGATTGAGGCTAATGTGGCCAGCAGGACCAGGGCAGTGATTGTTCCTCTCTAGTTGGTACTGGGGAGGTCACACCTCCAATCTTGTGTTCGGTTTTGGGCCCCTCATGACAAGAAAGACATTGAAGTGCTGAAGCAAGTCCAAAGAAGGGCAATTAAGTAGGTGAAGGGTCTGGAGCACAAGTCGCATGACCAGTGGCTGAGGGAGCTGGGGTTGTTTACCCTGAAGAAAAGGACGCCCAGGGGAGACCAGATCATTCTCTATAACAGCCTGAAAGGAGAGTGTAGACAGGTGAGGGTCGGCCACTTCTGGCAGGCAACCAGTGATGGGACGAGGACATAACCTCAAACTACACCAGAGGACGTTCAGGGTGGACATTAGGAGAAATTTCTTGATGGACAGGGTTGAATATTCAAACAGACTGCCCAGGGAGGTGGTGGAGTCCCCATTTGTGGAAGTGTTTAAGAAATGACTGGAAGTGACACTTAGTGCCGTGGTCTAGTTGACAAGGTAGTGATTGGTCAAAGCTTGGACTCTGTGATCTTAGAGGTCTTTTCCAACCTGGATGATTCTGTGAAAATTATGGGAAGTAGCGTGCAGAAATAGGCAACTAGATGCAAAAGTATGGGAAATAGCTGTAGGGGAGGTTGAAGGAGGCTCAGGGAATTAGGATAATAGCAAGAGAGAGAGAGAGGTGGCTGCTTATGGCAGGTTATGGTATTTGTGGCCTGTGATTGTCAAGGCTTGAGAAGGTGCATTAGCTAGAGAGCAGTTCAGCAAATCTGTTGCCTGGAAGCTAAAGCAGTGCTGCAATCCTTAGCTTGGAGATAGTTTCTTCCAACAGTTAGATCTGTCAACCTAAACATCCTACTTATCTCAAGCCCATATGAGGTTATCAGTGGTAACAGCATTGTATTATGTGGTGCATTTTGTGCTTCGAGTTCAGTGATGTGATGCAGTCCATTTGAAGAACAGGTGAAAGTGATAATTCTTACTGTATTGGATATACTTGTACGTGTCTGAAATGCATGAATAATTGTTAGACTTAATTGGTCATCTCTAAAACTGACAGTCCTGAAATGGAAAGGGTAATTCGCAGCTGTTTCCTCATTTATGGGGAGGAAATGGGGGGGTTTTTTGGGGTTGGTTGTTTTGGTTTTTAACTGAGATCGGTTGTGCTCATATCTGTGTTTGCAGGTTCTTTTAACTTCTGGGGCTTGCATTCTTCCCAGGAATGGGAGCCTCGTCTCTGGTTTGTTGTGAATGGATTTAGGAAGACTATTTCTTTAAGCTCCAGTTTCTGTTTATGAAATTAATTAGCGTGGGTATTTCTCACACTGTATCTGTAAACACAGCTACTGAAACAGATACATACTTTTTTCTAGACATTTTTATACTTTGTTTAGTTCTAGATGAATTACAAGCATAGTCAAAACTCTGAATAAATACTACAGTTTTGCAACAAAGTAAAAGCAAGTTAGCCTAAGTAAAAAACTTTGTTGCTCCGTGCTAGTGCACAAGAAGCTGAAGTTCACAATGAATGGCAGGGAATATTTACATATCGACTTTCAACAAACTTGATGGTTATCTGGGTTTATGTATAGCCTCAATTCTAGGCAGAGGCTACAGAATGCAAGATAACACTTGCTCTTAAACATACTGTGTTCCCAAATGCTTCCAAGAAGTGGCCACAAGAAGTTCGCAACAGCTGCTACACAGACTAGTCCGAGACTGTGCATGTAATGGAAAATTTGCACCCGATGACAACAGTTAAGAGACATACTGGTTTACATGTGGGGTCAGAATAACTTCCAAGTGCGTGTATATGCATAAAGATGATGTGCATAAGGTGAAGTTTTTCAAGGCTGTTGTTTCATCATTTGTCCTATATAACTATACTTCAAATCTGTAATGACATCAAGCCTTTGGTATTGCAGTACTTGGCAAAGCATTTGACTCTGGTGGTGCATGATGTGGAATTGGAGTGGTCCAAGCAGCTGGAGAATGCTTTTTGGAAAAACACCTTCTGCTGCACGGCTTCACAAAGTAACAACAGTTTAGGCAGACTTGTACCACTGCCACCCTTTACTATCAGTCTGCTCTGCTTAGCTGCTGCAGTCCCCTAGAACCAATGTGAATAATCAGAGAAAGAAAACAATCTGGGATAAACATTTTCTATTGTTTCCTACAAAAGCAATTTTTTTTTTGGTTGGGCAAATGATGTGAATAAATTTCCCTCGTGCTCACAGTCACTGCCCTTGCCTTTTAAACACCAGCATAAAGGAGAACACGAAATGCAAACTCAAGCCACCCCACCTGCAGTACCTGTAGACATAATTTCTTGCCTTGCTTACGTTTTACTTCTGCTTAAAATATTTCAGGTAGGATTGCCTCTGTATAGGGGCAGGTAGGGACTGTTAGGCTCAGCAGAGGAAAGTTTTCCTGTGTTTCATACAGTTGTATTTGTAAATACAACACTTTGATCAAATTAAGGTAGAAAGCAGTTTCCTCTACGTAGGTCAGTATGTCCAGGTGGCGCAAAAAATACCATCATCACACATCCTCAGTTTGAGTTAAACTTGTTATTAAAGTGGAATAAATAAGCCTAATACTTTTTCCTTCTGCTGCTTTAGATACGCAAGTTGAACCATTCATGAAAACTGGCAGATAAACTAGTGGCCTTGGAAAGGCTACAAGTCACTTTAGTGGGCCTGTTGCTGAATTTCCTGAGGAAGTGAGAGACCACCTTACACAGAACGATTTTTTTAACCTTTGTGGTAGTAACTGAGGCTGCATTTTCAGTATCTAATAGCAGATCTCTTTCACATTGAAATAAAAACTAAATTTGTTTGGCAAAACATGAAAGAAAGTCTTTGTTAACAAAGGTCTGCAAACCTTTCTTTAAGTCTGTTCTTAAAGAACAAGCAGCTATGGTGCAAATAATTTTCCCACTGTGCAAAAGGCTAGTGCTGCTTCCTGTGTAAGATTACTTTCTAAGCCTAAAAAGTAGTTATTTCTCTGATGTCACATGCTTTTCTATTTTTTCTTTCATTTTCGGTTGAGCTTTCCAACTGTGAAGGTGTCTCATACATTAGGGATCAAGAATTGTGAAGAATTGTGGTCACTAAGAACCAGTATTAATGAAACTGCTCTACCAGTCCAATCTGAGATTCTACCCATATTCTCCTCCCATTATTGCATTAGGACCAGGATGCATACTGTCTGCACAGCATCTGAAGTTCAGTAATTTGTGATCTGCTAAAACTTCCAGGCTTAATTTTCTTGTGCTGACCCAGTCCCATAATAAATGGATTATAGCAGCACTGGTAAGCAGCACAGGCAAAGGTAACCCTCCACAGATGCTTCAGTATCTTTGTCTTTCAAGATTTACCCTAAACAAAAGTACTGACAGAGAACTCAAGTTGCACACAGGTGTGTCACATGAACTTGCATAGACCTTT